TAAATAAAAATCGCCCATCCATAAAAAAAGTGTCTCACACGGCTCCGGGGGGTGAACAAAGGCCTTCTGTAGCGAATCGATGCGTTTTTGTAAGAAAAATATCCATATTCAAAACGTAATAATCACTTGAATCTAGCTTGCGCTCACTGTTGTAAACAGAAGCAGTTCCGGGGGAATGACGTATGAGGTCGGCTTTGCTAGAAATATACCCCAACGACTTAAGACTGCTTTTGTGCTCCAGGGTCACATATATGCAGTGGCCCATACAAATATTTTAATGCTATACATGAGAAAACGAGAAGAAAAAAAAACGAAATGAGAAAAAAATATTTATAAAAAAAAAAAAGCGAAATACAATTGAAATAATAATTTTAACTCATATTTTATTTCAGTTAATGTTTATTTCAATTATTATTATTATTATTTTATGGTTTAAGTTTTAGTTTCATTTAACTATATAATAACCCATTGATTACCCATTGACATTGGTTTCCACTGCTGGATATGAAGGTTGAAAGCAACCTTGTACCTCACTGTGACTCCTACACTTTGAGAATACTCTGAGATCATGGATAGTGAATATTGTGTCACAAGACAGGTACTTGAGTACATTGAAAATGCAGTCTTTCAAAATGAAAAAAAGACTTCAGCTTTTTCTGAAATCACGAGTTTCCTCCTTGCAGGGTGACAGTAGAGAGCCGGATAAACACACGCCTGCTGCCCCCTGCTGGAAGAAGCCCAAATCACACCCTGCATGTCCTATCAATGAATAAATACACAATATTCACAAAGTCCAAGGGCCAAAGTTCATCTAATGCAGTGATTGTGGAAAATGACTTCATACAGTGACTCATGACCTGGCAGTCCTATAATAGGTTATAATCTCATATATCATAATCCGTCAGTGTAATTTAATGAGCCATTGTATTTTATTAGTCAGGTTTTAAGAGACATAATGAATCAGTGAGTGAGCAATAATCTTTTTTTCTCTTAAACTATTAAAAAACTGAACACAAAATCCTCATCACTCTAAAAAGGTTTATTATTGTACTAAATTATTACAGTAATATTTACAGAATATTTGAGGAATGAATGAAACAGCAGACAGTTTATTATAAAAACAGCCAATGAGACAATTTTTCTCATAATAATATTTGATGCATAAGCAGATAAATAGTATAAGAACTAAATATTTTCACACCTCTGCAATAAAATATGCAAAAAAATAATAATAATTAAATTGGCTAAAAGTCCAGAGGAACTGATAGAAGTACATTTGAACTGTTTTCTTATCCAGTTACACGTCATGCACATGGTTTTTAGGTTCTTAGAAAAGCTAGACAAATAAATGACATTTCTAAACCGTTTTACAATATTTTGATGGTATTGTTAAACATAAGTGCAATAAAATATTTTTAGTGGACCATAAAAATATTTTAACACTTAAGTCATACTTAAAACATGCATTAGATAAAATATCAAAACAAATGGCGTTCTTTTTAAAGAAACAGCACAAGCTAACAAAACACAAACACAAAAATCATCTGAGACACTGTTTTCTAATGCAATAACTTTTTTTAAAGTGAGTCTAAATACTTTTTGGGCCTATGTATAGCCTATGACTAATACAATTTTGAATTATAATTAATTCAGGTAAGTTCAGTTTTGCAATTCACTTCACAGTTAATGTGGCAGGTTCAAACTAATAGACTCAATTCAGCTCCAGTCTGAAAATCATCGCCTGTTCAACAGATTTTTTTTGCAACAGTGTTTTCGCTTTAGTACATCATGATCTCTTTGGGCGCATCCTCCGTTGGTTTCTCCTGCTCTTTGCGGCGTGTGTACGCAGCGTGGACGTACAGATAGACCACGAGGATGGCCAGCAAGTTGACGCCTGAGATCATGGATAGTGAATATTGTGTCACAAGACAGGTACTTGAGTACATTGAAAATGCAGTCTTTCAAAATGAAAAAAAGACTTTAGCTTTTTCTGAAATCACGAGTTTCCTCCTTGCAGGGTGACAGTAGAGAGCCGGATAAACACACGCCTGCTGCCCCCTGCTGGAAGAAGCCCAAATCACACCCTGCATGTCCTATCAATGAATAAATACACAATATTCACAAAGTCCAAGGGCCAAAGTTCATCTAATGCAGTGATTGTGGAAAATGACTTCATACAGTGACTCATGACCTGGCAGTCCTATAATAGGTTATAATCTCATATATCATAATCCGTCAGTGTAATTTAATGAGCCATTGTATTTTATTAGTCAGGTTTTAAGAGACATAATGAATCAATGAGTGAGCAATAATCTTTTTTTCTCTTAAACTATTAAAAAACTGAACACAAAATCCTCATCACTCTAAAAAGGTTTATTATTGTACTAAATTATTACAGTAATATTTACAGAATATTTGAGGAATGAATGAAACAGCAGACAGTTTATTATAAAAACAGCCAATGAGACAATTTTTCTCATAATAATATTTGATGCATAAGCAGATAAATAGTATAAGAACTAAATATTTTCACACCTCTGCAATAAAATATGCAAAAAAAAAAAAAATAATAAATTGGCTAAAAGTCCAGAGGAACTGATAGAAGTACATTTGAACTGTTTTCTTATCCAGTTACACGTCATGCACATGGTTTTTAGGTTCTTAGAAAAGCTAGACAAATAAATGACATTTCTAAACCGTTTTACAATATTTTGATGGTATTGTTAAACATAAGTGCAATAAAATATTTTTAGTGGACCATAAAAATATTTTAACACTTAAGTCATACTTAAAACATGCATTAGATAAAATATCAAAACAAATGGCGTTCTTTTTAAAGAAACAGCACAAGCTAACAAAACACAAACACAAAAATCATCTGAGACACTGTTTTCTAATGCAATAACTTTTTTTAAAGTGAGTCTAAATACTTTTTGGGCCTATGTATAGCCTATGACTAATACAATTTTGAATTATAATTAATTCAGGTAAGTTCAGTTTTGCAATTCACTTCACAGTTAATGTGGCAGGTTCAAACTAATAGACTCAATTCAGCTCCAGTCTGAAAATCATCGCCTGTTCAACAGATTTTTTTTGCAACAGTGTTTTCGCTTTAGTACATCATGATCTCTTTGGGCGCATCCTCCGTTGGTTTCTCCTGCTCTTTGCGGCGTGTGTACGCAGCGTGGACGTACAGATAGACCACGAGGATGGCCAGCAAGTTGACGCCGATGTACGGTATCAGGAGGAAGAACCCCACCTGTAGGGTAATTTTTGGATCCTTCAGCTTCACGTTGGCTTCATCTGCTTTCACCAGCGTCTGGAACATCTTGCCCACGTAGGCGTTTGACACGTACAGAATCAGCGCCAGGCTGGCCACACATACTGGACAAGAAATATGACACATTAGCAAAGTTAACTGCCTATTGTCAATAGAGTAGATGTATGATGCACTGAATTCGGGTGACCAACTTGAACTTGACGTTTTCATCATGTGAAACTCACGATCATATTGAAGTCTGTTTCTGCCACGGTATAAAAACTTTTTATCTCACAATTCTGACTTTTTTTTTTTTTTTTGCTGTTTTCCCCTCAGAAATGTAAGATACAGTATAAAGTCAGAATGTTGAGATATAAACTTTGAATTGAAAGATTTTTTTTTTTAATACTTTTATACATTTTTATATAATGTTTATACTATATATTTTCATACAAAATTTTGGAGAAGGCAAGAATCCCCAGTTTTAAATGATTGGTTAGATTTACTTTCTAAAGTACACTCTATGGTGAGGATAACATATCAAATTAAAAGGAAAAGTATATATTTTGAAAAGATATGGGCACCTTAAAAATCTAAGTATATATTATAAAATAAAGGAATACATATACTCATTACCTTCTTATATAATTCTGCCTCCCTTTGAACTTATTCATTTATTATTTTTATTAATTTAATTAATATTATTATTAATTAGTTTTAAATACTATTATTTGAATTATTTATTAGGAATTAGGTGTCATTATAAGAGTTTAATATGAATATGTGGATGTTTTTTTCTCTCTATTTTTCATATGAAAAAGTGTTTATGTATGTATTGGTTATTGTTCTAATTATTATTATTATTATATATTTTTACTTATTTAATTATTTATTTTTTAAGCGTTGGTGATGGGTATTATCACAAAAGGAAAAAAAGTGAAGGAAGAGAAAGTAGAAGGAAAAATGAGGAATAACTATTGGTAAAAAATATGATGTCTTGAAAGGAAATGTTCATTTGTATAACTGTATTAAATGTGCTTGAACTGAAAGATAATAAAGTATAAAAAAAGAAAGAAAAAAGTCAGAATTCTGACTTTATATCGTACAATTCTGAGTTTATATCTCAATTCTGACTTCTTTATGGTAAATCTGAATAAAAATTTTGTTTGTTTTCTCAGAATTATGAGAAAAAAGTCTGAAATGGGAGACAGAAAGTTGCAATTCTGAGAAAAAAGTATGAATTATGAGTTTATATCTTGCATTTCTGAGAAAAAAGTTTTTTTTTCTCAGAATTGTAATATAATAATATCATAATTGTAATATATATACTCAATGATAATTACTATATGACTTTTTTCAGAAGAGTTTATGTCTGGCAGTTTTTAGCTAATATCTCACAATTCTAAGAAAGTTTTTAGCTTATAGAATTGTAGATATAAAGTCAGAATTGTGAGTTTTTTTTTTCTCGCAACACTGAATTCAGTTTAAATTGTGAGACAGAAAGTTGGAATTACCATATGATCCATACGATCTTGTGGATTCTTATTGGAATGACTGGATTTCGCACACGAAATTTAGCAGAGTAACAGTAAATGTCACAGCAACCCTAAGCTAAGGTCTTGGGACCACTTTTATAATCATTTAAACCTAATATAATCAAAAGTTTATAATCAAACACCCTTTATAATCAACGTTTTAGACAATTAAAAAGAGTTAAACGAAGAGTTAAAATGAAGAGGTGTTTAAAATAGTGTTTGAGATTGAAATATTTTAGTTTGTTGGCATAAGTGAGAGTGTGTGTGTTTGCTCACCACTGAGTCCACTGCATGTGTACAGTCCTATTGGTCCCATGTAGGTCTGATATGGGTTACTGAAGCTGTTGTACAGTGTGACCAGAATACTGCCTGCAGACCCCAAAAGAGCCAGCGCCAACAGGATGACAACCAGAGCGTGCAGGATGATGGGAGCCCCTGCTAATTTCGCTAGCCGTTCGAACACTAAGTGCCAGAGAGCAAGAGAAAATACATTATATTATGATGTCATTGAAGAATGCATATGAAAATGCGTTGATTTTTTACATGAAATATGTCGATTGAAATAAAATGACATAACCTTTGACGAATTCCAGACATAAAACGGTCATGTGATTTTTATGGAATGGCAAATTCCAAAGGTCATCTTAGATCTAGTTTTTCTTTTCTTTTTTCATTGTGCTTCTTGGTATTAATATCATATTTAGTAGCCCCAAACGGTATTTAGACACTTATGCCTCATTTAAAAACACATGAATGTGTTTAGATTGCAAAATATCGAAACAGATGGCATCTGTACTCAGATGCTGCAGAATCTTTTCTCACAACTTTTCATCACCATTTTGCTCAATGTCTGTTAATCAGCTGCTGTTTTTAGGTCATTTTAGTGGCTGTATAAAGTCTGTTTTCCTATAGTTTACACAAGTGTAGAGAATCACTTTCCACTCACATTTCTCAACCACAATGTGACGCAATACTGTTTATCTTCATTTTGAACTCTCAGAAAAAAGGCACAAAAGCTGTCACTGGGGCGGTACCCTTTCAAAAGGTATGCATTTATTATTTACTTATTTCCCCCTAAACGGTACATACAGTGGGTACGGAAAGTATTCAGACCCCCTTAAAGTTTTCACTCTTTGTTATATTGCAGCCATTTGCTAAAATCATTTAAGTTAATTTTTTTTTCCTCATTAATGTACACACAGCACCCCATATTGACAGAAAAACACAGAATTGTTGACATTTTTGCAGATTTATTAAAAAAAGAAAAACTGAAATATCACAAGTCCTAAGTATTCAGACCCTTTGCTCAGTATTTAGTAGAAGCACCCTTTTGATCTAATACAGCCATGAGTCTTTTTGGAAAAGATGCAACAAGTTTTTCACACCTGGAATTGGGGATCCTCTGCCATTCCTCCTTGCACATCCTCTCCAGTTCTGTCAGGTTGGATGGTAAACGTTGGTGGACAGCCATTTTTAGGTCTCTCCAGAGATGCTCAATTGAGTTTAAGTCAGGGCTCTGGCTGGGCCATTCAAGAACAGTCACAGAGTTGTTGTGAAGCCACTCCTTCGTTATTTTAGCTGTGTGCTTTTTATTATTTACTTATTTCCCCCTAAACGGTACATATATGTACCTTAAAGGTAAATCTTTGTACTTTAATGGTACTGTACATTGTTGTACTCTTCGAAAAGGTATCATCCCAGTGACAGCTTTTGTACCTTATTGTTTCCTAAGAGTGAACAATATATATATATATATATAAATTAATTTGTAATATTATGATATGTTTACACTTGAAAATGTAAAATTGCATAATCTAGCATGTAGAAAATTAATTGAACCCTTATTTGAAACTCACCAGGCACGTTAACTCCAAGTTTGTCAATCCTGGGGCAGGCGATTTTGGTCTCTGTGCCATTGAAAAGCCCAATTTGGAGACTGGAGGATCCACTGAACTCTTCACTGTCGATCGGAGCGCATTCCATGGCAGCTTGGGCCCAGTTCGTCGACATCCCGAAACCCAATACAGCCACTCCAGCTGCACATAAAGCAGCACTTGACAAGAAATGCGCTAGTTTCTTTGAGGACGGCATGGTTTCTGTGGAACAGTGGTCTTTTTTTCTAGGTCCTCGGCTGAGAAGTTTTTAAGCTTGTCAAACAGACCGGTTGATTCCTGTCGCTTTGTGACTGGAAAATGGGAGATCTTAAAATGGGAGATCTTGGGAGGAAGTGAGGAGTTGGTGGCTGCTGGGGTAATAAATGGTGTTGTATAGGTTGTACTTTGTCACTGATCTGAAAGCAGTACCTGGTGTTTCCCTGCAGTGGCAAAGGTTTGGTCTTGGCTGGGGAAAGCTGATTGCAGATAAGCTTATAATGAAACTCATCACCAGGAGGGCAATCAAGTCATAAAGTAATCGTCTGTACAGTCACAGACAGCTGCTCTTGTGGTCATGGCATTTATATCGGAGCGCACAACATCATAAAGAGAGTGACGTGGGTTTGATCAGAAAGAGACGATCAAGAAATCATCCTCTGACGGGACAGAAGTCCTGCTTTACTGCTGAGGTGTAACCAGGACTGGTGTTACAGGAGCCATTTCGCAAGCCCTTATAATTTTACCACAGGGCACGGGAATTATGGCCTTGGGCATAACATTTATGATCCTTACGGGCATAATTCATATGAAAATAGCAGCAATGTTCATAAGAGATATTCTTCATTCTTTTCAAATGAATATACATTTTAAATTGGTTTCAAACTTTATTTAAAGATGATTTTGTAGGTTGTTAGCTTTGTAGTGTTAAAAATAAAAAGACATTTCAAAAGAATGCAAAAGGAAAAAGGCAGATTAAATAAAAAAAAAAATGTTGCATTTAGCTCATTAGCTAACTTTAAACATTTAAAAAAATAAGCCTATCTATATTAGTTGCATAGACATCAAAAACCCATCATAGGTCAGAAAACATGTTTATATTACATAAATGTTGTGTATTTCCTGAATGCTATATTTATTTTTAGTGTGATGCTTTAAAAGATGTCCAAAGTCCATTTTGCAGTGATACCATATCACCATGGATATTACAACACACCCACAAATAAACAAACAGAGATAATAGGATCAGAATGTGTGTGCTTTACAGATATAGCCTACCAGAACAATACAAAACTGTAAAATAAAAATGTAGAAATGAATTAAAAAAGGTTTAACCAAGGATTTTAACCAGCAGATGGCGACTCTTTTATTTTAGTAAATCTGAGAGAACAGCATTGTGACGTTACTATTGTATACTGATGTAAAAATGACTTCAAAAAGTACAAAATAATCTTAGATTAGATTAACCATTAAACTGATTTATATATTTAATAACTTTTATTTTTTTTCTTAATTATCTCTACTTAATTATTATTTTACATAAATAGTCGTTTTTCTTTTTTCAGTTTGTATTGGTGCTGATAATAATGATTTAATTGTGTTAATGCATGTAATAAAACATATTCTTGAAAACTTCTGTGCTGAAGAGATGCTGTAAAACTAAAAAAAAAAACCAGAATCAAATTGTAGAATGGTACATAGCGTGAAAGAGAATGGGCGGGGCTTATGGGTTTAAATAATAATTATATTATTTATGTTAGATTAGATTAACCATTAAACTGATTTATATATTTAATAACTTTAATTTTTTTTCTTAATTATCTCTACTTAATTATTATTTTACATAAATAGTCGTTTTTCTTTTTTTCAGTTTGTATTGGTGCTGATAATAATGATTTAATTGTGTTAATGCATTTAATAAAACATATTCTTTAAAACTTCTGTGCTGAAGAGATGCTGTAAAACTAAAAAAAAAAAACAGAATCAAAGTGTAGAATGGTACATAGCGTGAAAGAGAATGGGCGGGGCTTATGGGTTTAAATAATAATTATATTATTTATGTTAATTCTACTCATCAATAATTAGTTTCAATTAAATAATAATTTTTTTTTAGTGTAATTACTCAAGTGTAAATTATTGTTCAGACCTCCGTTGAGGAAACGGTGGAGCTTTGCTGATCACGTGGCACCTGTTAATTTTCTTCGCGCTACTCAGGATGGACCAATCACAGGCGTTTGTGATTATTACTGGATGAGGTGTTTCGGCTTCCAGTTTGTTTATCGAATACAGATCATTCGAAGTAAATGAAACACAACGACATAACTAGAGCATAAATTCATATCAAAGAACTAAAACTAGAACTAGACAGTATTAGTAGCTAAAAGTTGGAGAATCAGCAGACCTTGAGAACTAAAGTCAATAAAGTTAGAGACAGAACTAAAAAAAGAATCAGAGTTAGAGGCGGAACTCAAATAATAATTAATCCATATATATAAATATTAAAAAAAACTTTAACACGCAAAGCGTTTTACCGAACTAACCAATGGTTGGAGACAGTATTACATCCAGACCTGGAGACCGACAGAACTAGAACCATAGCTACATCACATTTTTTTTGTAAATATCTTCAATAAATAAAACATTCCTATGATTTTAATGGATTTCGATGAAAGAATCCAGCATTCTGAGCCACTGCGCGCCCCCTGGAGGAAGAACACTGTATCTGTCATAAAAAAACTGCATTAGACTTAGGCTGCCCTTTGGACACTCACTCACTTGTTCGTCTAGTTTCCGAAATGGTCGCCAGGCGGCTCTGAACACACGGAAAACGCCGGAGAAGCGGGTGAGCCCCTGACAGAGGAGTAAATCTGCAGATCAACACAAATCCTCTAGTTTCCACCTCCTCCAGCAGCAGCGGTCAGCTTTCACCAGCCGCCCGGCGCGTTCTGCGCTCCCGACTACCGGATCATAATCATCCGTGCGCTTGAAAAAACTGCCTTCGTGTTGGACTTTACGGTAAGAGAATGATGAGGGTGTTTAATCTGAATCCAAACTGCAGTATTCAATGTGGCACATGTGTAGGAATGTTGTTTTTCAGTGCGCCGGAGCGCGTAACGGAGCTGTGCGCTCCTGTGCGTTTGATAGGCTATACCCATATATACTCGCATGCAACCAGCACTTGAGATTGGTTTGTTTTCCCTAACGTGTTCTGTTCATCTTTATAGAAGCGTTTGCATGTGCATGCGTGATAAACAGTGGATCTCAGGTATTGATGGAGCGCGTTGGCTGTGTTGGTAACCCGGGTGATCTGTTGTAGGTTTCTTCGTAATGTGGGTTTAGTGGAACGAGCTGTGGGCACGGAATGAGACGGGAGTTTTGGGAAAGGCTCTTTGGGACTCGCTGTTGACTCTCATCCCTGCAGATCTGCAAAGTGAGCACGCGGAGGAGAGGAATGCCATGCATGCGGTCCTCAGGAGCGTAGGTGTCTTTCACAGCACAGACAGAATTAGAATCAGAACCAGAGACTGAACTGGAGCTAGAACCGAGGTTAGACACAGAATTAGAATCCAGATCCAGATCCAAATGTATTTCTGCAGCAGTGCGTCTCAGTTTAACACCACTCTTGCTGATGATGTTGAGATGTGTGCACCTAGTTCAATAAGTTATGTTTTCAATAAGTAAAAGTATTCACTGACTCATTTACATTATGAGTGTGGTTTAGTCATAGACATATTGAATCACTTTAATTAATAATCAGCCTCTGGTAACCGCAAGCATGTTAGTCATAAATGAGTGCATACTTTAAATCTGGTTTTAAATGGTTATATTGTGCATAGAACACAGCAAAATCGGCTGATTTGCAAAAATAATATGACCTGTTTTGATGATGCTGAGCAAAGCAATAAAAACCTTTATGTACATCATGTTTTCAGCTTTAATGCGCTTATAAAATTAACGAAATCAGTCAAATGTCAAAAGTTTTAGGAAATATGGATTTACCATAAAATAACAACTTCAAAATCATTCATACATGTGAATTTAACAAATAGTTGTAATCTGGCTCAGAGGAAGATAAGAATGTCATTTAGTTCTGGTGATTAAGGGATAGTATGAGATTTCTTCACCTTACAAATGGTAGTCAAATCCAAAAATGTTACAAAATGCATCATATTTTGTGGGAAAATATGACGCACTAGAGCAAAACAGGCAGTATTTTTGGAATCAGCACCCCAAAATCAGTAGGAAACACATATTGGATTTTATTCAGCAGATATGATGCAATGGAAAACAGAATGTCACATCAGTTTAAGTAGTTGAAGTCAAGCCTACTGACATACATGAGCAAAATAGCCATGCAATGAATGCGATTTGAAATATTTTCCATCATGGAAGAAACAATCTGTGATGATAAACACATTTATTTACATTTACATTTATGCATTTAACAGATGCTTTTATAGAGGTACGTAACACAGCGAACAATAATTTGTAGTATGCAATACCAGGTTTACGAGAAAGCATTGGTTTAAGGTTGTGGAAGAGGCTTATAGATGAAGTCTATATGAATGCATTTTTGTTTGCTTTTGCAGACTAAATCATAATTTTTTTTCAGCGGTCATCTACAGCAAGTTACAGATGATGTCTGTAGTTTTACGTCTGATATATTAACAGATGCACTTTACTGTTTTCCTTCTTTCTGTAAGAGAAATCCCAGAATCTGTTTTTGTTTGGGTGTGTTTCATTTAATCATGTTGGTGTATCCGTATACGGTGCCCTGCTGTGTTGTGCGTTCTCATTGGTGTTATTGCGATTAACATTCTCTTTGAAGCAGTTTTAGTTTTTTTACTTGTGGGTAACAATAGGAGCTAATTGGTCCAAAACCGTTGCAGTTTAGTGGGCGAAACTGATTATTTGTTGGGCACTTGTTAGATCTGTCAGGGTCAGAAGAAAGGCCTGGCACTTTGTGGAAAGTGTGCCGAGCAAAACGATCAGAAAGCAGAGAAAAAAGGCTCATTGGATTGAAGTTTGTTTGCTTCTGTAATTGACAGAATAAGCTGTAATGAAGTAAATGGGAATCACGTTCTCTAGTAGGAGTTATGGCAGCTGTTGGTGAAATAAGGCAGTGAATATACAGTATATACTTCTCTTTATAAATTCTTTGTGTAAAAGCGTGGTGTTTCTTAACCCAGTAAACTAAGCAAAGCAACTGAGCAGCTATCT